GGCGAGTGAAAATATGAGGCATTTTATCATGTTTCATGAAAATATATGTTATACCATATTTCACGAAAAACGAACCTTTTTATCTAATTTCATTATCAAAGAAAAACTGTTACAAACCCTATTGCTTGTTACACATCTGCAATTGTACAGCGCGCAGTAATATATTACATGTATTGCGTCTTGTTATTTTGCTATTTTTCATGGAAAATTTTACTTCAGATAGAGATGATAAGGATTATGTAATTCTATAAATTTAAGTGGATACCGATATATCTTTCATGGAACATCTGCTTCATTATTCTTCCTGCATCGATATAATTATATTTTCAATGATCGTTCTAAACGATTTTCAGGTACATTCTCATGGATTTTCTTGCTAAGAATACCTTCATTATAAAGAATGGTGCTTATTAAGAATATTAAGTTACACTTTAGAACGGATATTTCTACTCTTCTTTTTACCAATTAATTCTCGAAATCTTGCGGACTTAATTTCGAAATTCATTACCATCTGAAAATATTAAGTTGTGAATATTTGACGGGTTATTTCTTCACCAGAATATAACATATAAGAGCTAAACTCTGGTAGATATTTTTAATGTTTTTAAGTTGCCAATCATTCATAAAGAAATGAAGAAAGAAAGAAATGATACATTTTACTTGAAAGGACGACCAAGTGATATAACTGAATTGACAGCAGTGAAGAAATTTAATGGCAACGCATCACAGTCAGCTTTTTCAGTTACTTTATCATCGTAAGGCAAACCGAACACTGCAACTTAAATATTGGCAATTTGAAACCAGGACGGTTAATTTTCCCATCTTGTATTGCCTCTTACACACTGCAATATATTTTATGAATGTATGGCTTTTAAAACTTAATATCAAAATTCCACACTAATAAAAAACCACCAACCTTATCTGCGGATACCCATATGGACGTACTAGTAAGTAAGTAAGTACATTTTTTTTATTATCGTGACATGTGCATATCTACTTCAAGAAAAAAAAACAAAGCACGTGCACCGACCCCTTTAAGTCACCAGAAATCATATAATAGTAATAAGTAACATTACGTGTTTACTCTAGTATGTCAGAAGTCTACAGTAAAAAGGACAGTAAGTCAGTCAACGCGGAATAATGTAGAGCAGATAAATCTATTTTTCGAACAACGTACACTTAAAAAGCAAACAAATAATGTACATGTATAGGAGAAAACTATCTGGAGCAGTTAAATTTATTTTTCGAACATCGCAAACATTTATTTTCCTTGACAGTCAAATCGCATTTATAATGTACAGGAAACGATTATCTTTACTCGTATTGAGTATGAATTAAGGAAAACATGTTTAACTTACAGGATCCGCCAGGCATGTTTTTACTTACCATAGTTACTGGTTCTGTTGTTAGTCAAACATGCTAAACAAAATTATCGAGCACTATACGTACATGTTTTAATCTAGACTTCATGTTCTTCATATACCTATAACAGTAAGAACATTTACAGCTTAGATTCCAGTTTAAATATTTCATTCGGCTATAAATAACACCTTAATTTTATGAGACAGGCATTCAGTACGTTGGAGCGATCAGATAAATATATTCAAATTCTTAAGTAATACTATAGTAGTTATTCTTATTATGTAACGAAAACAATAAAGACGCTGCATACTTTTACTACAGAATTATAAACTTTATAGATCAACATCAGTGTATTCTATGAATGTCTAAGATATGGAGAGAGGGTTAATAATCATCGGTTTTAAACACGATATAGATATTTGCTGGTATGTTTAACGTATAAGTGGTTTATATATACATATTTTAAGTGTCACTAGGTCAGGATAAAGTGGAATGACCTACAGCATTTACAAGTGTAAACTCGCCAGCTCGATCAACCTTACCAAGTGACACCCTTGACAATTTTTCCCCGGTTGATATGGAAAGGATGGGAATATAGGACATATTTAAAACCGAAATAAGTAGTTTATATATCTTGGCAATGTTTTCTTAGGATATAATTATTTCAACAGGACCTAGCCTTAGCAAACCGAAGAATACTGGCCGCTTGCCTGACCTTTAACTTCTATCAGCAAAACAATTAAATGTAGGTTTTAGAGTAATCAAAAGTAATTCTTTGCACCCCCCCCCCAAAAAAAAAAACAACAACAAACAACAACAACAAAAAACAACACATTCAGTTCTAATGCCCTTAATAATTCTTTTGATTAAACAGGATAATATGCATAAAGAAGGTCTGGGACGATTTGATGACGGGCGTACGAACGGACGGGTTTCCTCGCATTTGAATTTTCAATATGAAGCTACTTTCTTCTCTTTTTTACCCCTAAAACTATATAGAAAAAAAAATATAATTAAGAAAAAGTAATGTGGTCCGTAACTGCCCATAGACAAATCCTCTGACTGAAAAAATGGATTAACGTTTAATGTTGTAAGCCATTTAATTATACTTTTCTTGTATGGTTTTTATTTTATTTCTTTGCCAAAAGGATTAACTTTTGTGCTTATTTGAGTAAAAATGGTTTGTTATGCTGTATAGGAAGTTTAAACTTTCACCAAGAGGGCCATTGTGGCCTGACATCGCTCACAGGAGTTTGCGGTTAATTTGAAAGAGAGCAGTGTAGATACCTGGTATATATGTAACACCCTGCAAAAGGATAATCCATCACTGGTACAAACTGTTACAAGATAAGATTTTCCATTTGACTGACGTGTTTTTCTGTTATTTCCATTGGTCCCGATAGGTGTCATTGCAGTATTACCTTTAATTTTAATCTTTTTGTATTTTCTGATCCCATGTCTGGAAATACAATGCTGACATTCTAGCACAGGATTTCACGACAAACCTAACAAGTAGTTTTCAAAACAGCTTAAAACTAGCGATGAAAAAGAAAGAAATATTTTCATTTTGTTACAAGTATCCAACAAATTACAACGCATTCAAAGTTTAAAAGTAGCGTTGGCTTATATGATTGTCAATAAATGCACAATCACAAATTACGTGGATGAACAATGAAAATGCTATTATTAGCGATGTCGAATACTTCAGAGCGTAGTACACAAATAAATCTGACTGTCAAGCAGTGGAATATATACATGTCGGACTGTTTTGGCGAGAAGATTTTCGCTAAATTATTTACATCAGTGTTAAACGAACAAAATACCTCGAATAATAATTACAAACCCGAAATGGAAATTCTAAATTTAGAATTATTTGATTTTATTCAAGCGTTCTTTGTATAACTTCCCCGTGGTGCAGGGGTAACGCGCTCCGTTTAGGGTGTGAGAGGTCTGGGGTTCAAATCCCAGTCAGGCAACTTTTAAGTGTCTTTTTAAAGGAAGTAGCCACGATATGCAAGGATAAAGTGTTACTGTCATAAAAAAATGAACATAAATGATTTTTTGATGCAACCCTAGTAATGCAAAATTCCGTATGTATCAGTCAAACTTTATAGTAAATCAAACTGTTTTAGTAAAAAATCTACGCGCAGTCACTGCATCTCGGTGCCCTGTAAGATGAATGATATTATATAAAGATAAACTTATACAGGAAAATACATACAGATACACAGTACGATTTAGATTGCAAAGATCAGAAAATACTACAGAGCTTGCAGCCTTTTGATTAATATTTATACCGATACAGCACAACCTCTGAAGAGCAAAACCCTTTTGGAAATAGTATATTTCCTTGTTGCTCGAGAGCTTAAAGCGGCCTTCAACTTTTCAAAATGTTAAATATGTTACTTTTACATAAATCGTTTCATATAATTCTCATTCAAAAGAATAATGGTGGGAATTAAGGTCAGCATGGTTGTTACAAAGTTATACGGTAAGCTAAATATAAATTAAATGATCAAGCTCAACCGGTTAAATTGTGGATCTCTCTTCTTATATCAAGACACAAATATCAACAAATTGTCTCATCTTTAAAACAAGCAAGCTTTCTTAACTGACATTCAATTTTTGTCTTGAATTATAATTATTGGAACTTAGATCAGCCTTCAGGTATAAACAAGACCTTCCAAGGACTAGCCAAATTTACTTTTCTCAGTGCCGCAGAGTAACTAAATCACATTAAACAAGATATATTTGTAAAACATGTATGCCCCCTAGCGGTAGCCAATAAGTCATGTGGTCATGTAATTATGACTGACTTTTGACCTAGTGACCAAAATATTATTAGGGGTTTTCTACTGGTCATGACTAGTCACTAGGTAATTGTGACCATAAAGGTTGTGTGCAGCAATTTTATGACAAAGTTATCACAAATCTTACCTAGTAACATATGCATACATTTTATGAATCATGGAGGCCTCCTTAATGACACCAAATTTGTTATATTACAAAAGACCTTGAAATGTGTATACAAAAAGCATTTTTAGTTTAATAAAAATATCAACCGAGGCAACTTCAGTTTTTGAGTTATTGGTTGGAAACCATTTCTACCTACGAGGTCAATGTGACCTTGACCTTTGAATCTCAAATCAATAGTGACCCATCTTCTGGTCATGAACAATCACCATACAAAGTTTAAAGTTCCTAGGCCTAAGTGATCGGAAAACATTTTTACCTACAAGGTCAATGTGACCTTGACCTTTGACCCCAAAATCAATAGGGGTCATCTACTAGTCATGAACAATCACCATACAAAGTTTGAAGTTCCTAGACCTAAGCGTCCTTTAGTTATTGATCGGAAACAATTTGGTCTACAGAGCAATATACCCCCACTCCTTTGAAGGAGGGCCAATATAAAGAAATAAATTGAAGTGAAGGCCACATTAACCTCTGCTGACCTTTTGATCTAAAAACAGATGTGGCAAGCAAAACTTGTCAAAGTACATCCACATATAAAGTTTAAAAACTTTTTCTTTGAAATTAGTAGCTTAAAATAATATTGCTGTGTGGGAAATATTGTGTTGTATCTTTATAGAGTACAACAGAAAATTTAATAAAATAACAACTTTGATGATAAAAACAACCATCTATATAATAATTTAGTATTCACTTTTTTTATTTTAAAACTTATATACAGATTTTTTCATCAGGTGTTATTTGTTTTCTTTGACTTCTTCTTTTTCTTCTTCTTCTTAGTTTTTGTATTTGCTGCAGACGTTAGTTGAGAGACAGTCTCTGTTTCCATGGTATCTTCATTTTCTGCTGTTTCCATGGCAACACCAGAATCATCAACGGTTTCATTTGTATCTTCTGTATCTTCTGATTTTTCAACACTGGCTCCCGGCCAGAAATGTGAGAATACTATATGAATATAAAAGAGGTTCTTTTAAGTCTCATCAGAATGGGAACCTGTCTTGAAACTAGAAACATGATTTCATTTCAAGAAAACATATTCTTATATCATGAGTACCAAACCTTCAATATGAATTGCATTTCATGGACAAGTGCCGTAATCAACCAAAACATTCAGCTGTAACCTGTTTAATTAGTGTCATAGATCAATTTCAAGTTCAAGGAGTTTCCATATCAAAATACAAAACGGAGTTTAGAGCTTGATCTTACTGCAAGGATGTGCAAGCAGTCAGGCTCTTTACTAAAAGCAAAGGCTTATCACATTATAGTTCCAACAGGTTCAAGGTAACAACAAGGGCTCAAACTCTACTGAATATCATAGTGCCAACTAATGCCATGGAGGCCTCACAATTAAAACCAGAATGATATCCTATATAAAGTTCAAAATAAAAATTTAATGTTAATTTTATTGACATAAAGTACAACCTCTGGGATACAAACATTTTGGTTGTTTCTCAGATGTGCTGCTCTGAATGAAGATGCAAAGTCTTTTTGTCTGTTTGTCTGTCTGTCTGTCTGTATGAGAGCTGACAGATAAAATATGAGATTTATAGATGCATGTGCATATAAAGTAATAATAAATGGGTACAAACCATCTTTAATATCTCTAATATCCCACACCTTCACATTTTTCTCACCACCAATACCAAACACGTATGGTGCATCTGGGCAGTTTCCCATGCAGTGAAGCTGTCCCTGTAAGGTACGTAAACTTGATGTAATACAGCAGTTACTATGGTATTTTTCTTAATTTAAATTTTAAAGTAACAATACCAAAGTTTATGTCATATGATTTTTTCACCTTGTATCAGGGAAAAAAAGCTCTGGCCTTCATACAGTAAAACATTTGCATGGACATCAGTGGGGAATAAAAAACGTATATATTCAATACTCATGACAAAGGTTCGTTGTAGAACTGAAACTGTTAGATAATAAATTACTTTAAACTGCAATGGTGTTGATGCATGCTATTTGTTTATTTACATCTATTTTTAATATGTTTGAATGATTATAATATAAATTATAGAAATTGTGTCTTTCTGATTTTGATTTAGCAACATATCTAGTTTCTGATAAATGCAAATCATCAATTATAAAAACAAGAGCTGTCGGTAGGACAGTCACGCTCGACTATTCTTAGTGCTTGATAGTAAAAAAAAATGCTTGATACAATTACCTCCTCCTGTTTACAGGTTGGGGTAATGATGGTGAACAAGTGTGCAAAGTTTCAAAGCCATATGTCAATGGACTTTGAAAATATTTGAACTATTACAAAAACTTCAACGTAAATTCTAAGTCGAAAAAGGGGCATAATTCTGTCAAAATGCTTGATACAGTTACCTCCTCCTGTTTACAGGTTGGGGTCATGATGGTGAACAAGTGTGCAAAGTTTCAAAGCCATATGTCAATGGACTTTGAAAATATTTGAACTATTACAAAAACTTTAACGTAAATTCTAAGTCGAAAAAGGGGCATAATTCTGTCAAAATTCTTGATACAGTTACCTCCTCCTGTCTACAGGTTGAGGTCATGATGGTGAACAAGTGTGCAAAGTTTCAAAGCCATATGTCAATGGACTTTGAAAATATTTGAACTATTACAAAAACTTTAACGTAAATTCTAAGTCAAAAAGGGGCATAATTCTGTCAAAATGCTTGATACAGTTACCTCCTCCTGTCTACAGGTTGAGGTCATGATGGTGAACAAGTGTGCAAAGTTTCAAAGCCATATGTCAATGGACTTTGAAAATATTTGAACTATTACAAAAACTTTAACGTAAATTCTAAGTCGAAAAAGGGGCATAATTCTGTCAAAATGCTTGATACAGTTACCTCCTCCTGTCTACAGGTTGGGGTCATGATGGTGAACAAGTGTGCCAAGTTTCAAAGCCATATGTCAATGGACTTTGAAAATATTTGAACTATTACAAAAACTTTAACATAGGTGGTTACGCCGACGCGGACACCAACGCCGACGCCGACGCTCGGGTGACTACAATAGCTCTACTTATTCTTATCGAATAGTCGAGCTAAAAATGTTTAAGCTTGTATGCTCTATTATAGATTAATTGGATGAGAGTTTTTTTTTTAAATTGGGTTTTAAATTGCAACAACATAGTATAGGTCATATGGCAACTTTCTAACTTTTCCGTAGGAGGAAGACCTCAGGTGCCCTTCTTTGCTTTATTTTAGGAACAAACAGCCCCTGAGTAGAACCACCAGCATTCCGTATGCTAGCGTGATAGCTTTCTCAAATGAAAGAATAGAAGATGCTTGAACCTACAGTGGTGAAAGGCAAGCGGTTTGAAGTCAACGACCTTAACCACTCAGCCACAGATGCCCCAATTAGATGAGTTAAGTTACAAAGATTCCTCCTACCAATTTAATATCTTGACTATGGACTAGAGATGGCTTGTCTCCCTCGATATCCCATATTTTAATGGTGCGATCAGTTGATGTGGTTACCAATAATCGTGGATCTTCACTGCTCATACATAAACCTGAAATACACAAAAATCATGAAAATTCTAAAATTCCTATTCCTGTATAGCTTTAGTTTACCTGTGCAGCATCATTCAACTCTTGACAGCTGAATGTTTACCATAATATACTAAATATATCAAAAATAACTTTGTTTCCCTGTTCTTGGTTCCATTAAGTATTATTTCAAAACAGTGCTGATGAATAAATCATGGAAACTGAACTGGTGTTAATTTGTGTTCATCCCATTTATTATCATTGTAGTACAATGTATTTAAATTGCAAATTTATCTAAAAGAATTCTGAATTTGTTTTGTTTTGAAACTAATAGTGGTTTCAAAGATGGAAAACACTTGTTTACAACTGAATGTCTGCAGATTCATGGCAATTTTCATTTAAATTGAAAACTATTTCAAAATTAATGTGAAAACTTTTCATGTGTACAAATGAAAATATCTAAAGAAGCCTAAAACTTTTTGAGTGTGTTTCCATTTTTTTTTAAACTCACAATAATAACCAGTTCCTATAGGTGCAGGAAATATTTCAGGTGATTCTGGTGCATTATAAGAATATGTATTACTGGTAATGTATGATTAAGCAGCTAAAACAAGGTTCAAGTCAGTACACATGTGACCCATACTGGTTGGGGACCACCAAAACCGGACAACCACCAAACCAGGATGGCCCTGAAAATGCCTGATTTAGTTTTTTTTCTTTGTTCAATGGTTATCAATCTATCAGTCACTTTTAAGTCCACAATAAATGCATATTTCCTCTATAATTAAGAAATTAAATTCATTTAAACTAATGTAAAATTAGAAAGTCAATTTCAAGAACGCTGACATTAAAATTTTTGAGGTCAAGTGCTATACCTACTCTCTCATACCTGCTAAAATCATTTGCAGAGTAAACAATACAATATACAAAACTTCAGCATTTGCTGCTGAAATATTGTATATCATGTTAAAAATGATAAAAAAAGTGTCATTACATATATGTCCGGACACATGGTACTGTACTGTTCACAATTCAGGTAATTTTGATACCCTCCTTCACAGGCCTCAGACATAAGTGTCAACATAATCAGAAATAAACAAACTAGTTTGTTAGTTCGGAGAAAAACCTTGCCGTACTGTGACAAATTTTCTGATCTCTAGCTTAAAATTTATTAAATTTGTATGAATAGATGTTCGAAAAGTATCTGGTTGATGGTCCCCGACCAGTACAAATAATAACAAGAGCACTGCTAGGCGGAGCATTATATGCCCGAAAGTGATTTTTAGTATGGATGAAGCATTTGTAAGACATGGGAATTAAATAATTTTACTACAACGGATGGACAGAAAGACGCCAGGGATATAACATGATATAAGCAAATTTTTTAGGGCATATAATTAATGTAATCAATATAAGCTGTAGGTTGATTAATACTTAAGTTATTGAGCGAAAACCGTTTTCAGTGACCTTGACCTTGTGACCCAAAAATTAATAGGGGTCTTCTACTCAATATTGACAATCATCCTATGAAGTTTGAACACTGTGGGCCAAATGGAACTTACATGCTCCAGAAACCACAATTTTCAGTGTAATGATCATTGTGACCCTGACCTTTGACCTTATGACCCAAAAATCAATCAGGGTCTTCTGCCCAATATGGACAATCATCCTATGAAGTTTGAATATTGTGGGCCAAATGGAACACAAGTTATGCTCCAGAATCTATTTTCAGTTTTGAGGTAATAGTGACCTTGACCTTTGACCTTGTGACCCCAAAATCAATAGGGGTCTTCTACTGCATATGGACAATCATCCTATGAAGTTTGAATATTGTGGGCCTAATGGAACTTAAGTTATGCTCCGGAAACTGTTTTCAGTGTCAAGGTAATAGTGACCTTGACCTTTGACCCTGTGACCCCAAAATCAATCAGAGTCTTCTACCCAATATGGATAATCATCCTATGAAGTTTGAATATTGTGGGCCTAATGGAACTTATGTTATGCTCCAGAAACTGTTTTCAGTGTTATGGTAATAGTGACCTTGACCTTTGACCTTGTGACCCCAAAGTCAATAGGGTTCTTGTACCCAATATGGATAATCATCCTATGAAGTTTGGATGATATAAGTTATGCTCCAGAAACCAAATTGCTAACAGACGGACGGACAGACGGACGGACGCCAGGGGGTATAACATAACATGCCAGAAATTCTTTCTGGCATATAACAAGAGCACCATGTACAGTGTTATCATTCATCTATAAGAGTTAAAAAGGTGCATAACTCCAAAACAATTACTTTCAGAATAATGCCCTTTGTCTAAGAACAACACCGTGTCATGATAAGGAAGTATTGCAAGTTTCATGTTGTTAACATTTATTTAATATGTTTGAATAATTGGCTATATTACAGTTTTACACAATGACAACAACAACAACACAGCAATCATAATAGCTTGACCTTTTCCTTGGAGCAGATGAGCTAAAAATATCAACCATCATTTCTTTTTAGGTTTGTATTCACATAAACTCTCCAGATTTACAAGAGGAGGAAGACATCTGACAGGTGATGATGTGTGTATTGTGTGTGTATTGTTTTAGACAAAAGCAAGCTTTTTTGGTAGAACCATCAACCTTCTGTCAGCTGACTGGACAGTTGACAGGCATGAATAAATCCAAATTTTGAATCAACACAGTGGTAAGGTGTCAGTTATTTTAACTATGCAACTTAGTCATTATCACTTGGCCTACAAACTTACCTGTGACACTTTCAGTATGAGCTGATAGAGTATAAACTGGTTTATCTTGTCTAGAGTCCATGTAAAACACATGTCCTGTATCTGTACTGGCCTAATATAAAACAAGAAATGTATACTTTGAGTAACAGTACTGAAAATCATCATTATCTTATGAATACATGTAATTCCTTGTTTTTTTTATTAAAGGCACAAATTTCAAAGATGTGTAAATAATGTTTTAATAATGCATTAAAAGAATGTAAGATGTGTAACAACTGAAGAAGTAGCGCTTAACATGTAGTTATGTCAAAAAGGTAGCAAAATGTAAACAAAGTAGCATTTTTTACTTTCATATAAAATATTTATTTAATAAAATTATACTAATTGACAACAGAAGAAAAGCAGCCAAAGATAGTTTGTATATATTAGGGATGTCATCTGGAGCCGAAACGGCCATCCGGATATCCGAATCAAACATCCGGATACATCTGGATATTCGGATCGTTGTTATATTCTTATTTGGCTGATATGACATAACCATTTTTTCGCGACCTTTTTCAAAGTGTAATTTTTCGTTTTACTTCCTTTTAAATTGAATGTTACGTGTCAGAAATGCTTCGTTATTGATTTTATTATTTCTATATAGAATATGACTGATATCGATAAATTTAGTGCATATGGTACTTACGAATTAAAATGAAATGAAAATGAAATTCATTGCCGATTTTCTCAATTCCTCAATTAGTGCTATAATACACAATAACACTCGCTCACATTAAAATCAAAATAACACCCGTAAAATATAAATATAATGTTTCCATTGTTCAATAACACGCATACAATTTACACACGATGACCTTTGACAGGTGTGTAGAGAATCTGCCAATCTTTGATGTTTACCAACATGTAGTCCTGGCTGTTTGAAAAGAAGTTGCCGAAACTTACATGAATTACACACATTTTAAGTGTTCATAAGTGAAAAAAACTGTGAAATAAATGTTATTAAAAATGCACATGTTTGATTAATACTAAAGGAGAATGTTATTTTGTCTGATAATTATCGTGTCAATTTCAATAAAAGCTGTGATTATTATTCGTAAGTGCATTTCTTGATTTAATTATTTTATTTCTGCAGATTTTTTTCATTTTTTCAAAATAAGGAGTCAACGGATCGGTTAGCCGAAATATATATATAACAAGCAATTATCATAGTATTGCAAGCAATCCATAAGTCCCCTACCGGTTAGAACCCAAGCAACATTCTGATGGGCCATTGGCCATTCAATTTTACCAGTGAATGAATGACATGAATGAACTTAAATCTATTGAGTTCTAAGTTTGTCTATATCACAGTAATGTGTTAAGTTTCCCTGCCTAGTAAGGAAATAATGTTTATACAACCTTGTCATATTATTACAATGTGGGATTTTAAAGTAAATCCTATAAAGAATAAAGAAGTTGGAGTGAAAAATACCAATTTCTCGAAAAAAATCTAAGTTCAAGGGGGACATAATCCTGGAAATAGTCTTGCTAGAGTATTTAACCTTCTCAAAAAATGTTGAGTGATAATAAGAAACATATATATGAAGTTTGAAGTAGATACATTAGGAAATAAAGAAGTTATTTAAAAAAGACAACATTTTTTTTCATAAAAATTCTAAGTTCAAGGGAGGTAATACTGATAACTTTTGTGTTAGAGTTGTAAACCTTGTCACATATGATGTGGTTGATGACCAGAAACTTATATTTAAAGTTTGAAGTAAACACCTTAAGAAATAAAGAACTTAGAGTGAAAAAGCTGAAAAATTTAAATCAGAAATCTTGAAATTCAGGCTATTTGTTGCCATAGCTGCCATCTACCCATATTTTTAAGTTTCATAAAAATATTTTCAGTACTTTTTGAGTTATCACTGGATCCAGTTTATGTGTTAAATTTGCCATATTTTCAGGCTATTTGTTGCCATAGCAACCAGAATTTTCAACATAGGAAGAAAAGAAAAAGACGTGCATAATCTCCATACTGCCATCTATCCATATATCAAGTTTCATAAAAATATTTTCAGTACTTTTTGCGTTATCGCGGGATCCAGTTTTGTGGACGGACGGACTGACAGACAGATGGACAGACAGTCAGACGGACGGACGGAGGGTAAACCTGAAGTCCCCTCCGGTTAAACCGGTAGGGGACTAAAAATAATAGCCTAATCAAATATTTAAATTTGGACATAAGAAAGGTAACAGCCTTGCCGATGACAATCGCACGGGACTTACATTAGGCCATCCTTAAAAAAATGTTTGTTTGCAGTAACCCGACACAGAATTTTCAAGGTGGGTAGGTAGGTCGATTTTTTTTTTTTTTTATTGAACTGTACTCCCAAATAAACATGGAATTTCAAAATGCTGGACAATATATTAACAATTAATAAATTGATAACTGAATTCTAATTTAATAAGACTTACATTTTATTTCTTCCATTAACCTTTAAAAGAACGAAAACAAAGCACAAGGCATAATTTTCTGATTCAAAAAAATTTTTTTTTTATCCAGACCATGAAAAAAAATTTTGAGTAGGGGCAAATTTTGTGAGTCGGTCGCGTTACTGCAAACGAACATTTTTTTAAGGATGGCCTTATTCATCTTAAATCTTACAGAACTTAAATTTGTTTGGTGTTTAATATATATTAACATGTGTCATACCTGACTCGTAATTATTTTAGTAATTATTGATTTTTTGTGGTCTGCAGAAATTATGATGTGTATTGTCAAACTAAGGTACAATATACAATATGGTGTCAACACCATGTCTACGTCGGTTATTTAAACGCATGTTTTTTATCACATTTTCTCAATATTCTGAAAAATTTATGCGAACATCCGGATCCGAAAATCGGCTCCGGACACCGAATCGTGATCCGAACGTTCGGATATCAGGACTCCCGAATGACATCCCTAGTATATATGGAAAATGAATATTCTATGAAAACTGTAACAAGATTTGAAGCCCACTAGTTGCAAGATTCTCTTCTACACTTCACGAACCACAATGGTGCAATTGCTGGTAATGACACCTTGGAAAAAGCCAATAGACATGACTTAAAACCTACTCCTAGGTTCCCTTATTAGGGTCAACAAAATAACAACTCTATAAGTATGGTTCACGCGTCAGACTAGTAATCTAATGATCACTAGCCACATGGGTTCAAACCCCGTCAGGGTCAAGTCGTTGTTTCCTTGAGCAAGAAACTTTACGTGTGTCTATAAGCGTACAGCTTATAGCTTCCTACACAATCAAACTAAAATAAATTCTGTATAAACCAACAACTCCATCAAGAATATGGAACATTCATAATTAACATAACTGGATCATTCCTTCTTCCAGTATTAATTTGTTTTCAAAAGTACATGTAGTATATTTTTCAATCAATACATAAGTGTGGCTTTCCTATTTCTATTTTGAAACCAATCTCCTTGACTTCCTATACTTACAAAGAAATTCATCGGCGAGAAGTTATTCCACAGTAATTTTTCAATCTCACCCTTCATGCTCCAAGACTTGTGGTTCTCATCTGGTGATCTGCAGTCATACATCTTCACACATCTGTAAAATACAATGCATATTACTTTGTAATACAGTAAAACATGTGTATATAGACCATTCTAGCAAATTGCCCACAACTGTTCTCTATTGAACAGGTACGTTTGTCAACATAATTATTCGGGTTGGAAAATAAAATGATGTTGATTGGTTAAAAGATTTTGTACATATGGGTTTTAATCTGAGGTGGACTGTAGCACAGATTTGATCGTATTTGTTCAAATGAAGTCCTTTAATCTATTCACATGTGGTCTTGCTTCATGGTGGTATTTGGCACAAGTTTGACATGTAGTAAAATAAATAGAAAAACTTCAAAGATTCATGTATATCTGCCTGTATATGTAGAAGTATGCGTGTGTGTCAGTAAGTACAGAAATTAAGTAAATGACTTTACATTTTTAAGGGCACTTTTGCATTTAATCCCTTCCGACAAAATGTTTCCAACTTAATGATCCAATATGTCTCTTTCAATAGTCTCTTCATATTATCATGTACTTAATCTTAGGCATAAAGGAATGTGTTCAATGAATGCAACCCTAACACGACCAACACAGAACTACCAACAAGAAGCCCAGAAAGACAGCAAACAAAAACAGGACAGGGCACAAGGCAAAGCACAGACTGGGTGATTACTTTAATAATTCATAATAGGAAAAATTAGAAACTGACAAGAAAATTAAAGATGATGAATAATTAATAAGCCTACAAAAGTAAATGGGGTGTAGGGGAAGGGGACTTGATGTAAAAATTGTGTGCTAATTAAACTTTCATATATTTGTTTTACTTTTCAGTCATAAACAAAAAACATTTGGGTGACTTGCTCCAAAAGAAATTTAATCATTTTATCTTTTGAAGGCCAGTGCGCAAATTCAGAAGTAACAAAGCATTCTTTATTATGTTTATCATACATTAGTCATTAATGTAAATCACCAAAACAAAGAACACATTTTGAGTCTTATACACAAGACTGTTAATAATTTTAATTGTAACAGCATGCGATTAAGAATGGTTCAAGTCTGTTATAATTGTGAATGGCCATAAGAAAGTTTTGATTTAATCATTTGTTTTTAACGTAAACAATATATTATTTGATTACCTCCCTTTGTACAATTAACTATAGTCATATATAACATTATGTCTTGTGTTTGTTAAAAATTAAATGTTCATCGACAATAAATGTTAATTTTTATTATTAACATATCTTACTTATCAAAAGATCCTGACAACAACATATGTTCCTCCACTGGATGCCATTTGACACACTGTACCTGTTTACATGATATCACAAAACATGTCATGTTAGTAAAATATATATACTTTTCAAAATTATTTCCAGCATAGTCATGAACCACTAAACACATTTTGACTGTTGAGACTCGTTTGCACAAAGTCGGACATGAATTCTCAAAAGAAAACAAAAGAATACATCAATAATTTAACAGAAATCATTTATGTTGGGTTGTATATATTTAAAATCACACAAACACTTTTGCATGTTCAGATAAAAACTATCCAGCCTTTTAGTTTATTGGTGATTAAAACTGGAAATTCTTGCATGTACATCATCATAAAGCAAGTCTTTAATTGGATAAAACCATAAACATTCAGTAACTTTATTGTAATGTTGACAGACACTTGTGTTAGACACACATAAAGACCAAAGGGATGTATCATTTCCTCAAATTTTCACAATACAACAAACTTTATGTTTTATAACCAACCTTATCTTTATGTTGTTTTAATGACATTGCAATCCGCCCCTCTGTTAGATCCCAAAGACCAACAGTATTATCTGCTGATGCGCTTGCTAAAATATGTCTGAAAATTATAGAAAAATTTGGATACAAGTTATTTCTTTTTCTGTTAAATTTGCGTTTATTTACCAGACAGCTGTCAGTTAAGAGCAGTCAATTATATGTTAAAAGGATTTTAATATCAAAATTTATGTTATTGTTAATTTCTTTTTATGTTTTAAGTCACATAAACACTGTGAAGGTCATATGGTGACTTTCCAGCTTTACTTTAAATAGAAAAGCCACTGACCTTATGTAAGCAAGCTGATAAATTAATTGCATGAATGAATCAAAGTTCCTGACAGGAATCAAAACCCTCAGCAGTTAGGAGCAAGTAATTTGATGTCAACAACCTTAGTTGAGCAGCCAACATTAGTAAACTTAAACGCTTTGTTTTGTTTGTTGGGTTTTATGTTGCACCAACACTGTTGAGGTCATATGGTAATTTTCCTGCCTTACTTGTGGAGGAAGACCTCAGATGCCCCTCTGTGCATTATTTTGGTGACCTTAGTAGAACCATCTTTAATTGCATAACACTTCAAATATAAAAGGCCAAAAAGGATTATATATAGGGTCACTAGCCTCAATTTTTATAACATATGTATAGTCTGATTTTATTGACCTGTCAATTATTAATACATTATAGCACTCATTTAATTGTTCCGTCCCACATTGGTTTTGTCCATTTATTTTACGAGAATAAACATGGAGAATATCTCTAACGTTTTGAAAACTCCCACTAACTTAATGTAGGTTCTCGTAACATCCACAATAGCAAAGTCGGTTAAGTGATTACCTAATGCATGAGAGGTCTGACGTTCGATCCCTTCTTTTGACATTCTTTTTGGACTTATTCTTTATGTTTCTGTATATTTTAATGAAAATGGTCAAGCGCTTGCAAAATTGTCTACACGGATATGAAACAACTAAGAAACACTGAATTGTCACGTTTTGTATTGTATTATACGGCACTGAAATGAAATTTACAGATTTTAATCCAAATAAAATAAAATTTTATTAATTCTTAAACAATGTTATATACAAAAGTGTAGTATTTACAAAAAAAAAAGTGCAAAACATATTAAAAACAGAAAGAACAACCATAACTTCAAAAAATGTTGAAAATAGTTATGAATAAAAAAATGGACATACGCTGTCTCGATCTTTCAACACGTAAGACATTTAGAAATTATATACCCTTAGTTTACCGTATTGAGCTATAACAGTAAGTATAACTAATTCATAGAAACAAGATGAATTTAATCACATCTTACTGCGTACCTCTCACGGAATTTACCGAACATTTATCGAATATTAATATATTCTGTGCATTGACTGTATAATCAGTATGGAATTGACAGGTTAATAAAATCAAACAATAATACAAACACAACTGAATATATATAAATGTTACCTGGCTATGGAATTCCAAGATAAATCTAACACTGCATCTGTGTGACCAACCTGAGCATTTTTCTAAAAAAAAATATAACAATATGAAAACATCAACAAACACAGCAGCATGTAAACCCGATAAACAAAACCTTTTGCAAAGGACAGAATAGATAATTTCTATCTTCATTACCAGAGCAAAATCTACTTTGGAATGATCAAGATCACATTACTCCACTAATTAATTGTTTGTTTGATTGGGTTTTACTTCACACCGACACAGTATAGGTCATATGGTGATGTTACAGCTTTACTGGAGGAGGAAGACCTCAGGTGCCCTTCCGTGCATTATTTCAGGCAAGACCGGGCACCTGAATAGAACCACAGACGTTCAGTGAGCTAGCTGGATAGTTTCCTCACTTGAAAGAATTTAAAGTCCCTGTCGGGATTCGAACCCACAGCGGTGAGAGGCAACTGGTTTGAAGTCAACGGCCTTAACCACTCAGCCACGGATACCCCCTTGACTAATTAATAAAAAACATTTAGAAAATGAAAGCTTATCATCTGTTATTAACCATTATTTGTTTAAATACCATTTCATTCAATGTATTCACCTTTTTCTTTTTGGAAACTTTTTGTCCTAAAGTGGCTAATGGTTCTAAACTCTCGACTAGGTCAACATCCCATATATCAATTGTTGGGTCCATAGTTGCTATAGCAACAAAATTACCTGAAAACAAATTTATCTTAAATTGCAAATATAATATTAAGAGATCAGAAGCTGAAACTGACCGCAAAGTTAGACTCCATGTAGCATATCTTAAGTAGATGTATTTAGAAATAGTATGAACTCCCATCAACATCACTACAGCACTGGTAATAGCATCTTAATTGTTATTTCTAACATTAACAAGAGCCACCGCCAGGTGGGGACAACCCTCGATTTTTCTCTTTTTCTTAAAGCAAACAAATAAACGGTTTAAACAAATCTTAAGGAAAAAAGTTATGGACAAAATTTTTAATATAACTTCAGCTGTGACTTCTTATGTAATTTTCATAATTTGTCTATTAAATTAAATAATTCCAAGTTGTAAGGATCCAGACATTTTCCTAGATGGATAAAAGACAATGACTGGTGTAAGTTATACAACTTACCGATACGAAATCAGGGCTTCCGTTAATGGACGTTTGGGAGTCATTTACTCTGTAACTTCCAAAATCTAATACTTTTCCTCTTAACCTATATAATGTGACTTCCAATGTCATACATTTTGCAGTCTCTGACTTCAAAATTTTGAAACTTAATGGAAGCCCTGAGAAATGAAAAATATGTCTTTACCTTTACTAGCATCTCGAAGGTCATAGTCTATCCATTCTAGGGCAAGAGGAAATGATGATAGAAGAATGTCATGATGAACATAGAGGTTCTCTAACTCAGAATTATACACTGAAAATGAAAAGAAAAAACATCTGTCTGTGTCATTGTTATTGTTTTCTCAGTTTTTACCTCAAGTTTTACCATTACTTCTGTCATACTCCAGCAAGCAATAAGTTAACTTATAAGTCTTTTTGTATTCTGTATACCAGCATTAGTTTGATTTTCATACACAAGTAATTGCAAACTTCTCCACATAAAATTCATGTGGAACTAAAGTGTAGGATAACTTATGTTATCAATTACATTGTCACAGAATAACAGGTGCTAGTTCAATTGAGAAATTTCTAATCCTATGTCCATACACTTAATGCTTTATCTTTTGATATATCATGCAAATCGTATTGTACCTTTTCAAACACAACTTTGAAACATATTAATGCTAAGCCTGCAGATGGCAATAGATTCTACCCGTGTGACCAATGCAGACCAAGATCAGCTAACATGTCTGCATTGTTCGTTATTTAATTTATACTAATTTTGATTTTTTCCCTTAAAATAATGAATAGTTTTGTCCTTATTGAAAGATGGACAAGCCCCTTTGGAATATTAAGGGTGGTAATAAAAGTTCTTGCAATATTGTTTAACAGTTTACTCAACTTTGACATCATTACAAGACATACTAACCATGAACTTCAACAGAACAGAAATCACTTTCTGCACGTGCTACAAGCATCAAGTTGTCTGTTGATTTGATCTCAAAATCTTCCTCCTCATCACTTTCAGGCTATGAAAAACAATGACAATATATTATCTTTTAGGTTGAACATAGTTTATTTCAATTAAGGACCTACTATTGTGTAGAGTACTGTACCAATGAGGTCCATTAAGCCCCTCAAAATGTTTGTTTTATTTTCTAATAGCTTTTTTATTTTAATTTTTCTGTTACAGTTTCCTAAATAGGGCTTGAAGTACAAACTGCTGAATCATCTTTTGCTTTTTGACCATTAAAAGTCCTGTAGTGAATTATTATTATTTGTATACAAAACAAAAAGAATTTCATAGATTTAAAAAAAGTTCTTTGATTAAAATATTTTACTCAAGGATTAGCATAGTATATCTTTAAGTTTCAGTTATTTGGGTTGATAAAATGGTAGTTACACAAAATATAAAATATTAATAATGTAAGTTAGAATATAGAAATCAACTCCAGTTTCAATTTAAAAATGTAATTATTTTATTTGAAAAATATACAACGTTTCGACTCAAAAGTCTTCATCAGGTATACTTTGTTTACAGGAAATGACGTCAACGTCATATGACGTTTATATTAATAAAAAATTCTTATAAATAAATTTCTTCTCTAAATCATGATGCGTACATATTTACTTTGTTATTGTAAATGCTTCGATTATATAATTGATGATTGGTCAAAAAGGGTTGTTTATTAATTTCAAATGATCGATTAAGATTTTTGTCCGATTCAAAAACCCTACTTACATCATTTTTCAAGGTGATATATGGATCCTCATCATTACTTGAATACATTGTCAGGCCAGAAATTCCTTTAAGTGGATTAGACCCTGAAATACAGAAAACTTTTGTCAGATTGTACATACATGTACTGTACAGTCTCATGCAATTATCGTTTTTAAATCTGAAAGTAAACATATAACTTATATCTGTTCAGTGTTGGTGTTTTAAAGTCATAAAGACATTGTGTTTAACAGCAGCTTTCAAACACTTAAGTCAGGGCCTTAAAATCTGATTTTGACTTACATGTACTTCTCTGTTTTAGCTGAAGCAGTTCTTTACTTGTCTGTATGATATTTATAAAGTACAGGCTGTGGGACGACCAGGGCAATATGTACAAATGATTTTGTCGCCCCTGCTTAAGTTTGAGATAGATTAATGGTGCCGTATCATGTATTATTATTTTGGGCATTACAGGGAATTTTCATAGAACTATCAACCTTCCCTTTTCAGGCTGGATAGTTTGTACACATGTGTATTATTCATTGAATAAAAGTAATTTTAACACAGCAGTCCCTTAATTGCAGAGGCTTTTAACATAACGCACTGTATCAAAATTAAGACAAAAATGTTTGTAAAAGACAAGTGTTCGAATCTTTAATTTTATTTGAAATGTTTACCATTTTAATTACTGGTAAAAGTGATGCTGATACTGTATAATGTTTGTACTGTCATGCTTAGACTGTTTTTCTGTTGTGTTTTTATGCTGATTTTAACACATGTTTTTGGTCATACCCGGTGGTCATTTGACTTAACCAACCACCCTGGATAACAAGCCAGTAATTATCAGTTTCTCTGCAAGCGGTCCAACTAATAATTCAACATGATTTTTGAATCAGCTGTGAGAGACAAATGAGCCGCATCACTACAAAACCAACATAATGGGTTTGCGACCAGCATGGACCCAGACCAGTCTGCACATCTGCGCATTCGCGCAGTCTGATCAGGATCCATGCTGTTCGCTGCCAGTTTCCCCACTTGTAATAGAGTTGGTAAGTGAACAGCATGGATCCTGATCAGACTGCATCTGCGCAGACTGGTCTGGATCCATGCTGGTTGCAATCCCATTATGTTGGTTTTGTCATGACACGGCTCAAATGACTTTAAGACTCAATGTCGAAGATCAATTGTCACAGAGAAATTATCTATGCCATGCTCATGGATCAAAAACAGTGACCTCTGCATTACTAATCCAGCACTCTCCCTAGTGACCCAAGTGGGCGGACATGCATGTATTAACAATATTCATCACAACTGACAAATCCAATCAAACATCACACTGTCAATAGTCTAACTTACAATCATTTTCCTCCTCATCATAGTCATCTAAGTTATATCTTGATTCAAAGTCATCTTTCCCACCTGAAGCAGCTCCTTCTACTTTAGGTTTCTTTCCTTTCTTTAACCCTTTTAAAGATTTAGCCAAGTCTTTCGCACGAGCTACCTCTGCATCAACATCTGAATCTAATTCATCCTTTTCAGATTCCTAAATTGTATAAATCTACATTAAAATTCTTGAAAAATAAGGTATATATCATTTTCCAAAGGTTATTGCTAAATTACTTGAATTCAATGTTACAAAGAATTTAAAACTGAAGTCTAGTTATCATGTGTCACTCAAGTTACTTCTATGGCTTTAGAGATATTGCTTAAATTCTTGATACATCACTCTTAACCATTTACCTGCTGGAACTAAAAGTGATATGGATTTGTCACAAATATACAGCCAGATCAGCCTGTACATCATTCTATCTTATATTGTTGGCTGACCAATTTATTTTATCATCTTGATATACCCAAAACTGATAATGATTATGAGACAGTTCCAACTAGAACTGTGTCCAAAGGACACGGATGCCCACACTGTGCAGATGTGCACCGGTTTAAGAGGAGTTGCGTGCACAAAATTTCTATATGGTATAAAGTGAAAAAATCAACAAAGTGCCATAATTCTGTTAAATTTGGTCGCAGCAAAAATTCCTTCCTTTACTACCATCTACACATTAAGGTTGTTCATCCCTGGAAGTTTAAGCAAAATCTGCCATCCGGTTTAAGAGGAGTTGCGTTCACAAGATTTCGGGACGTACGGACGTTCTCACAGGACAGTAATTACGTGGCTACTCTATTAATGGACAGACGTACGGACGGACAAGTGCAACGCTATATGCTCCCAAATTAGGGTTTAGATAAGGCATCATGTTTTTGGATCAAGATACTCATATAATAATCCTATAATTTTTTTTTGGGGGGGGGGGGGGGGGGGTTACGTTGTATCAACACAGTAAAGGTCAAATGGCGACTTTCCAGTTTTAGTGGCGAAGGAAGACCTCAAGTGCTCCTCTGTGCATTATTCCAGGCACCAAGCTGGATAGTTTTCTCACATTAAAGAATCCCAGGACACTTGCATGGCGTTAATACATAAGTGAGAGAAGTTGTTTGAAGTCACTGAATCTTGAATCTTTTACTTTACCTAATCTCTTAGTACATTTTTCATATGTTTGATTTTCTTGAAATTATTATTTAAGCTCATCTGGAGGCATACAGATTTAAAATCTAAATATATACAGGTCAGTAATAAACTAATTTACATGTTCAGCTATAAAGTTGCAAATACAGTAAAATTTCTCATACAGTACCTGTTTTACATCACCAGCAGCTGGATGTGTGTTTTCTGTTTCTTCTGTTTCTTCTAATTCTTCATCTCCTGATTCTAACTCATCATCTAATTTTCTATAATATCGACAAATAATGAAATAGAAAAGAATAGCCCAGTTTATAACAACTTGAATATAATGAAAATATCTAACAACAGCATTATCATAGCAACAAATGATGGAATGGAAAAAACTGGCACAGTGTATGAGAACTTGACTACAATGAAAGTATGTAACAACAATATTATTTGTTTGTTTGTTTCATTTTACGCCTTTCCCCAACAGTATTTCAGTCATATAGGCGGGTAGTTTCCTAACCATCGTTCATGGTGAGTTACAACAACAATATTATCATAGCAACAAATGATGGAATGGCACAGTTTATAAGAACTTCAATACAATGAAAGCATCTTACAATACTATCATAAAGTCCCTTTATGTAAAAAAAAATAAATATTATCTTCACTAACTTATATGATAAACCTGTTGCTCAAATGAAAAATCACCATTTTTTTAGTAACAGAAAGCATGTCTAACAGAGACATGGTTGAATTGAATATTTTCTGCTGATAATACTGGGCCGCACTTAAACCAAAGTGATCAAAATAAATTACTAGAATGATCAAAATAGACTAAAAATACATCTTACTCTTGAGTTTCTTCTATGATTCTTTTTAGATCTTCTTTGGCAATCTGGAGCTGAAATAATAAATATGAAATATAAATCTGTGGCCTCCTGATCTATTATTATCTCATATTATCTGGAAATTTGATTGGTTGCTCAAGTCTTGTCACTATGTGATGAGTTTATTCTTCACATCACTTCATATCATTAGTAAGGGTGTAACAGTATACTGTACTTGCGGTATACCGTACCGTTTTCACTTGGTTAGGTTCACGGTACAAAAAATCACCTGTACACATTTTAGACCATTTTCAAGGGGAGTAATTATTTCAGTAAAAATTGCAGAAGATGAATTTAAATCAGCGTCAGTGTGTTTTAAGTCAAAAATATATAAGCATTTTGGATTTCAGGTGAAAAAATGATCAAGGAAAATATCTTCTTCGACTGCTATTTCAATGTGCTGAATATATTTTTCGGACGTATCTTCATTTTTGTAAGAACTGACTATTGGTTAAAACGGCCTATTTGGAAACACTTTTTGGCCAGCTGAAATTTGTGAATAAATAATAGTACGATATCTTGACACTTTTGCAAATAAACCCCACATTGTTGATTCCAAAATCTTGTCAAAACACTGCAATTGACAAAATCCCTGCAGTGATTACTTCCCCTGATCAGTACAGAAACATAAAGTAGCAAAGCATGACGTATCTCATAATCTGCTGTGAGGAGTTTCTACTATTAAACTTTAGTAATTTATCCAAAATAGTTATCTCCTTACATATGACATTTTCAATAACAAGAGGGCCATGATGGCCCTGAGGTCGCTCACCTGTATATAGGCCCCCGAAGCGGGGCCAGTTTAAACCCCAGGGCTTTTATTTGAACAAACTTGGAATTAAGACACCCATTAGAAGATGTTTCATGATGTTAAGTTTTTGCTATACACATATAAGGAAAAACAATGACCTTCTCCCCCCCCCCCCCGGCAGAGTTAATTTTAACCCAAGGGCTTTTATTTGAACAAACTTGGTAGACACCCATAAGAAGATGTTTCATGCTAAACATCTAAGCTCTAGCTCATTGGGTTTTTTAAAAGAAGATTTTTTAAGTTTTTACTATACACATATAGTTAAAAACAATGACACCCCTGGGGCGGGGCCAGTTTTGACCCAAGGGCTTTTATTTGAACAAACTTTGTAGACACTTATTAGAAGATGTTTCATGCTTAATATCTAAACTCTAGCTATTTGGGTTTTTTCAAAGAAGATTTTTTAAGTTTTTGCTAATTACACATATAAGGAAATCAATGACCCCCGGGGCAGGGCCAATTTTGACCCCAGGGCTTTAATTTGAACAAACTTTGTAGACACTCACTAGAAGATATTTCATGCTTAATATCTAAACTCTAGCTATTTGGGATTTTTTCAAAGAAGGTTTTTAAGTTTTTGCTATACACATATAAGGAAAATCAATGACCCCCAGGGCCAATTTTGACCCAAGGGCTTTTATTTGAACAAACTTAGTAGACACCCATTAGAACATGTTTCATGCTAAATAATTTAGCTCTAGCTCTTTGAGTTCTTTAAAAGAAGATTTTTTTAAGTTTTTACTATATGCATATAGGGAAAATCAATGACCCCCCTGGTGCGGGCCAATTTTGACACCAGGGCTTTTATTTGAACAAACTTGGTAGACACTCACTAGAAGATGTTTCATGCTAAATATCTTAGCTCTAGCTCTTTGGGTTCTTTAAAAGAAGATTTTTTTAAGTTTTTACTATATGCATATAGGGAAAATCAATGACCCCCTGGGGCGGGGCCAATTTTGACCCCAGGGCTTTGATTTGAACAAACTTGGTAGACACTTGGTAGACACTCATTAGAAGTTGTTTCATGCAAAATATCTAAGCTCTAGCTCTTTGGGTTCTTTAAAAGAAGATTTTTTAAGTTTTTACTATATGCATATAGGGGAAAATCAATGACCCCCTGGGGCGGGGCCAATTTTGACCCCAGGGCTTTTAATAATAAGTTTTATTTGAACAAACTTGGTAAACACTCATTAGAAGATGTTTCATGCCAAATATCTAAGCTCTAGCTCTTTGGGTTCTTTAAAAGAAGATATTTTAAGTTTTTTCTTTCGGTTGCCATGGCAACCAGAGTTCTGCATGGAATTAAATTCTTTGAACAATTTTTAAAGGTGACCACCAAAGGAACATTCCTGTGAAGTTTGGATGAAATTGGCTTAGTGGTTTATGAGGAGATGTCATTTGAAGCAAAAGTTTACGGACGGACGGACGACGGACGAAAAGCGATCACAAAAGCTCACCCTGTCACTTGTGACAGGTGAGCTAAAAATGTGATGTTTCTATTATCTGTACATCTATATTGAATTATATTTTTTATTTTGTAGATATTTTAATTCTCATAGTTTCAGAAAATATTAAAGCTTTTAGCCTTTTTCTTTAACTATAAAATGTCAAAAGAAAACATGTTGACCAGTTCATTTACTTGATTTCAAGCCATACTGCATCATTTAATGAAAATAACTCATTTGATAAATGCTTGGTAGTTACGAAATAATGTGGAAATAACAATAATGTTGTTACAATTAATTTTGCATAATACATCTGTGTGAAAAAATAAAGTTTAAATAGATTACAGATAAATTATCACTAGTCAACTCATATCGTGATACATACACAATAAGTTTAATGCTGTGCATCATGATGTTGAGAATGTAACTGCATTAACTTGACACACTCAGGTTTACAACACTCCACTTTCCTTTTACATTCTAACGCGATTAACATTTGTTAACGATTTTGTTACTTCCATATATGGAATTATCATGAAATAGACGAAAATTTATAGGCGGAGCCAATTTTCACGAAAGCAGAAAGAGAGGTAACTCTTGCTGGTACACAAATATTTTAAATTATATAGAAACTGTTGTAAATTTTACATACATCAACTGTATAACAGTTGACTTTGAACATCCTCTGATTTTGTTAAAATGTATTCTAGTACAGGATATTCAAGTAATGCAAAATTGGTTAAGATATAATGTAACAATGTAGCAACGTTTATACTGATAATGACCATAATAATATGCAAAAACTAAAGTTGGTGAATTAACATAAGAGAATGTTTCCCATATATAATGACACACACCACTAGCTGTTGACATGAGCGATAGGGTTTGTGTGCCTGCAAACGTTAAACGGTAGTACTCGTACGCATATCTTTTACATTCAGCAAATAGTACTAGAATGCGATACATGGAAGTTTCTTTTGGCAACACGAATAAAGAGAACTGAACAGTAAGCCTGTGCCTTCTCTCTTTAAAGGACTAAATTGGGTTGTAGAAAAACCCTTATTTTTGACCAAATGTATAACCACAATTTAGCGTTTACTATCGATAATCAGTGTACGAAATTCGGAATTTAATCCACTAACCTGGTTGGGCTACCAGATTAGAATACTCACTAACCCGAAAGACATTTCACTAGCTAGCCTGATTCATTCATTCAAAACAGTTGTTTATATTTTTCTCTGAAAATATGGTAGCTTAGTCGGGTTTGTTGCTGAGAAATATTGGCAGCCCAAAGAGAAATTTGGTAGTCACGGGCTATCAGACTACTGCTAATTTCGAACACTGGATAATTCCGTTGTATAACCAAAACTTGTGAATTTGTCTAATTTTAATGTTGAAATAAATATTCAGTGTATCCTAGCATCTCTGTTTACCTCCATTGGGAGGTATTTTGAGCCATAGGGTGTGATTTAGCCTTTTATTATTAAATATATGTAAGCTGACATAGGTTAAGGTCTTTTTATGCATTGTACTGAATCAATAACAACTCTAAAATCTGTGTATACATGCTGTCAATAGCTGTTACCTAGACTTGCTGTCTATCTGATCAAAAGCAGAGAACTATTTTTATGTACATGAAATACTACACAGATTATTTATTAAGTTTTGTAAAAGATGGCTTTCTAAGAGATAAAATAAACAAGGTATACATAAATTGATAATCGACATACATACCTTTGGACTCATTTAAATATCATTATTGGAAAACAAACTGGTAAAAATTGTGAAATATATCTATACAGTATCGTAAAAATAAAAAGTTATGTACAAAAGAGAACATACAACTTTGGTTATAATTTTATTATTGTTAAAAGTTTGTTGTTGTCCAGTCATACGCTAGAATTAAGGTTGCTATTGTAATAGTAAATGCTACAACTAGGAAAGACAACAGCCAGAATTTGGTCTATACACAGGAACTTGAAATTCTATCAAATAACCAATATTAATTATAATATCCAAATATACCCCCTATATACTATAAATAAACATATATATATTTTTATAGTATATAGGGGGTATATTTTGCATATTATCGTTAAAAGTGATAGAATTTCAAGTTCCTGTGGTCTATATTAGTAATTAGACGTAACAAAATCTCTATCAGATGTTAACTTGAAAACTTGAAAGTGGTAAGGTAGCAGCTTAACTGTAAATGTTACTCATTCCTAGGCAAATTGGAATACCCTCAGTAAAATTTATTTGTTGTTGAATATAGTCTTATCAATAGTATTTAATTCCTTGAAAATTATTTAACCTCAGACAGTAAATAACCTAGTGAGTTTTTTTACTATTATTTTTAGTTTTTTTTTCTCTAGGAAATGTGGTATCTACAACGTTTTAAAACTTATATGCCTATAATCCTTTAAAGTCCGCTGATGTTGATTGTACTCGTATAAAGGCATAGAATGGCAATCATGCAAGTGAATTATGTTTGGTGAATAACTAAACACCTAAAAGGTGTAGTAAATGGAAACTACGCTGCTTCTTGTCGCCCACGGTAAATACCGAAAATGAGCGGATAAATACGTTTATTTACGATAGTGTAGTGTGCGGGAAAATGGGCAGAGCTTATTTTTTACTCCTATTGAAAAACGTGTAAAGCTGGATTATGCTGATCCGAATCATGATGGTTCGACAATGTAAAGCTAAGAAAGTTACTTCTGTTTTGTCGGGGTATACACGAACAATGAGTATTCGAACACTTGGTATTGCTACTATCAGCAAAACAGTTAATGTTTTGACGTTTAACAAAATGTATTTTGTTGAAATGCATGTTTACAATGTTATGTTCAAGAATGCAACATTGGAGTTTACATACTAAGAAATACAATTGTATTTTGTCCATTAACAAACAGTTCAATTCAGATCAACAAGGCTGGATTTTTGGCAACGAATAGCCTCGATAGAAAAAGGGGCATAATTCTGTCAAAATGCTTGATACACTTACCTCCTCCTGTCTACAGGTTGGGGTCATGAGGTTGAACAAGTGTGCAAAGTTTCAAAGCCATATGTCAATGGACTTTGAAAAAATTTGAGGTATTACAAAAACTTTAACGTAAATTCTAAGTCTAAAAAGGGGCATAATTCTGTCAAAATGCTTGATAGAATAACCTCCTCCTGTCTACAGGTTGGGGTCATGATGGTGAACAAGTGTGCAAAGTTTCAAAGCCATATGTCAATGGACTTTGAAAATATTTGAGGTATTACAAAAACTTTAACATAAGTGGTTATGCCGCCGCAGACTACTTATTCTTATCAAATAGTTGAGCTAAAAATAACGTTAAAGCAACAACTATGATTAGAGATTAACAAAAATAGCGGACAGGATTTTCCAAATGCGACTCATGCGTAGTGATCCCCCTTTACATTTGGAGATTTTTGGAATATTCCGAGCGCTCTGATGATAGCTTGAACACCACCAATTTATTTGTTTTGTTTACGGTACAAAATACCTGCAAGAAATATCTGGTTTACATGTAATTCATAAGAGCTTTCCGCGCCATAGGTAGCACCTAATTTCATATTATGAATATTGACAGAATATTCACACATTTTAATATGAATAAGACAGAAATGCAATGTAGATACTTTTTCAGGGTATTCCTTTTACAGATCCCCAAGCACCAATTACAGAGCGTAATTGTGTAAAAATTCTCTATAGAGTTATGCCCTCATGTCTTGTATTTGGGATATTGTTCACTAACAAGAATATCTCTAGGAGTAATCTCTGAGACTATAATAAGTGAGGTGGTACAAAAAAACTGAAATTATTTCTAATTCTATGTCCAATTCTATGTCAAAAACGGGGCATATCTATGTCAAAAATAGGGCATTTGCCCATAAAAGAAACTATGAGAGTTCTGACACTGATACATCAATAGAATAACGAGTCATAAATCAGAGTCCCTGACTTACTGTGTATGCGATAGCAATTCTAAATATTAAACCGAATGAAAACGTATCCGAAAACACATCTACTTCTTCCGAAAACTACAGATTTAACCAAATAAGCCTAACAAATATTTACCTTTTCTGGTTTAGCTTTAGCACAACCTCGTTTTACCCATGTCACGCAAGGTATTATACTCATTTTCTATCTGCTTATTAACAAATTGAGATAAAATACTTAAAATTTACACATGCTGACCGGAAGTTTTGAATTGATAGATAATCTAAACTCCGTACCGCGGCGAAAGTACCGTACCGGCCGGCCGGATATATCGGACCATGGACATTTCATACCAGATTTTGGGACATTTCGGACCAGATATATTTTGTACATTGGACACTTAAGACCATTGTATTTTTGTTTAGCTTCATTTCAAGTTCACATCAGTATATGATTGTAAATATTGGCTATATGCACCTTTCAGGTGTTTAATGCTTAATAAATGTTGTTGTTGTATGAGGCATTTTACACCATAACAACACTATTAATCCTATTTTAAATGTGTATAGCTCCTAAGCCTAGACGGTATGCCTAAAATACGAAAGTGAGATTTTTGACGAAAGTGAGCGAAAGTGAGCGAAAGTGACTTTTAAAATAGTAATTATAACATTTTAATAGACTTTTTAAACAAACTTGCAGTTTGTAGACATATATTATTAGAAAATAATTATATTTATTAACAGAAATAATCATAATGATGATTTAATCGCCACTAATTTGCATAATTTCTATACACAAGTTCTTATATCTTCCTTTCGCTCACATTGAAAAATACGAAAGTGACTTATAAAATATTAAATATTCTGTTTAAATTGAATTTTTACTAAAATTACAATTTGTAGATGTATATTATCAGAAATTGATGATATTTATTTTCAAAAATAATCATTATGATGATTTAATCGCTATTTATTTGCATTATTTCTATACACAAGTTCAGAGATCTTCCTTTCGCTCACATTGAAAAAATACGAAAGTGACTTCACAAATATCAAATATAGCGATTAATTTAAATCTATATTAATATAACAGTTTGTAGACGTATAGTTTTGGAATTTGATAATATCTATTTTTAAAAATAATCATTATGATGATTTAATCGCTATTTATTTGAATAATTTCCATACACAACTCCATAGATCTTCCTTTCGCTCACATTGAAAAATACGAAAGTGACTTATGAAACATTAAATATGCCGTTTAATTTGAATGTATATTAATATAACAGTTTGTAGACGCATAGTTTTAGAAATGAATAAAAATACTTAAAAATCATTTTGAGGTTTTAATATGCATGCATTTTCATAATTTCTATATACCACTTTCAGAGATCTTTCTTTCGCTCACTTTTGTATTTTCAATGTTAGCGAGAGGAAGCGAAAGTGATTTTAAAAATATCAAATATAGCGTTTAAATTGCATTTAATATTAATAATGCAGTTTGTAGACGTATATTATCAAAACTAGTTTTTTAATCAATATGATTTGATCTTCATTTATTAGCATAATATTTATACACAAGCTCAGGCATCGATCTTCCTTTCGCTCACTGTGAGCCTGACGAAAGTGACTTACAGAATATCAAATATAGTGTTGAAATAGAATTTCATGATAGTATTGCAGTTTGTAGACGTATGTAATAAGCTATAGTAACTATCATTTTTATAAAACTTAATATGTTAAGATGAAAAATGAAATTGATTATGTAAACTATAATTGGCAAAAACATGAATTGTACAATGCGCGTTAGGGCTCCGATTTACAGTTCTCAATTTCTTACATCGTCTTTTTCGGGCAATTTTTAATTTTTGATTAGGGATGGTTACCTAACATTTAATATTCTGTTTATATATTACATTGTAATTATACTGTTTGATTCTAATCTAACAGTAATAGGTCTTGAATGTGTTTCTCATTATTATAATGACTCTTGAAATTCTTAAATGGAATGGTCTTATGTAGGTTTTATGTGAATTATTGTATATATGTTAAAAAATGCATGTATACGAACGAGACAAAATAAAATATTAATATGTTTACGTGCAAACACGTGTTGTCATATCATGTTCGCATCCACTTTAATTGATAGTAATCACGACGGTAACCGCGTGACGCTTTAATCCCAGTAAAGTATTATTATAATCCAATCATCGGTATGTAACTGATGACACTTGCCCGGTTGTTTATTGAGTGGACAATTGAACCTTCCTTCTGCACCACCATAGATATCTTGGGCGGATTAAAGTGGCAGTTATTATGCTCATCCAGGTGTAGATGAGCGATGTACATGTTAATTTGAAAAATAATTTTTAATTTGCCATCATTGTTTGAAAATAATATTTCACTATGAAAAAAGGAAATAAGTAATCCACGGAAATTTCTATAAATATCATACTATATATATCGGTAAAGTTCAATCTTTTTATTAGCTAGGATTTTTTGTTTTTGATATTTTGTGCTAGTCATTTTCATCAATAGGTCAATCACTATGAAAACATGAATAAAATGAAAATGACTCATTTATTTATTTATTATAAAAAAACCATTAATATCGTGAATATTGACATTCACTTTTGTTCGATTAAGTTACTTTCGTATTGTTCAATGTGGGCAAAAGTGAGATACACAATGTATCTGAACAGGTATATAGCAATTATGAAAATACATGGATATAAAATCATCATATTTATTACTTATTCATTTTTTTAAACATATTTTATTCATTTCTGAAAACATGCGTCTTTCAGCGCTATATTTGATATTTTTGAAGTCACTTTCGTATTTTTCAATGTGAGGGAAAAGAAGATCTTTTTAAATAAATGGCGATTAAATCATCAGAATGATTATTTTTAAAAATAAATATAATTGTTTTCTGATAATGTACGTCTACAAATTAATTGCAATATTAGTAAAACATTCAATTTAAACGGTATATTTGATATTTTGTAAGCCACTTTCGTATTTTTCAATGTGCGCGAAAGGAAGATCTCTGTACTTGTGTATAGAATACACGACAGACACATACAACTACCTCAACTTTAAATCGTGTCATCCGAAACATACAAAGTTAAACATTCCTTTCAACCTTGCGTCAAGAATCATAACTATAGTAAGAGGAGAAACACTGCAAGAAAAGCGCCTCTCAGAACTAACTACAAGACTTAAAAATCAGAATTACCCAGATGAAATTATTACATACGGAATATCTAAAGCCAAATTAAAAGGTCCCATCAAAACTGAAGAAAACATAACAGCTAACAACAAGTACAACGTTATCCCATGTGTAACAACATTTAATCCCAAAAATACCAATATTTCCCAAGCAATTCGATCTTGTGAGAATGTGTTACGAAAAAGTGAAAGGATGAACAGTGTTTTAGAAAAGAAGCGCATTATAAACAGTAAAAGACAAGCAAAAAATCTTCAAAACATCTTAACCTCTTCAAAGTTCGACATGACAAATAATACTGTAACAACAGTTTCTAAGTGCAACAGGAGTAGGTGTAAGACATGTCCTTCTCTAATAGAAGGAAATGAAATACAATTTTGTAACAGTAAGACATTTAAGATAAAACAAAGTATGAACTGTGTTTCAAAAAATGTGATATATTCAATAATTTGTGACAACTGTAAACAGTTTTATATTGGCCAAACAAAAAATGAATTATGTAAACGTATGACTTTACATAGGCAACAAACAAACACTGAAGAACTCAGAATGTTACAAGTAAATAAACATTTACATAATTGTTCAGGAGGTAAATTTAGCATTTTCCCTCTATATAAGATATTAATCGAAAGTGACAATTTTAGAGAAGAAAAAGAAAAACTTTTAATCAAGTTATTAAAACCACAGCTAAATGCTCATTGGTAATAATCGTTTAACAAGGTATATACATATAAGTACATCATATTTATTACATTTTCTTCATTTTTAATTATGAAAGAAACGCTTGCGATTTTATTCAATCCAATTGTCCGTTTATTTACCAATATTTATTGAGTAAAAATTGTTAATTACCATACAATTTGTGGCCATAAAATCATTAACTTGTGAATTTTATTACCTCCCTTTAATAAATGTCATTAATTCACTGCCAGATTGTACGGATTATGCTCAATGTCCGTAATATTATAATTTTTCAGTATAAATAACCATATTGTGTTTGCCGGGAAATACGTTATCATTTAACGTTCCCGCTTTTTTTCATGACGTTACGTCATTTGTTTATATGTTTATTGTTTATTAAAGTTTCGGCTGATATGCGAAGAAAGCATTGAAAGCGCTTGCGAATTTACATAGAGTTTGTTATTTCTTAAACATTATAATTTTATCCTTTTATAAATTTCACAGTAAAAACGTTTCAGCTAGGTTATCTAAAGAACGCTATTTTATTGATGTTTTTAATCCAAAACTTAATACTATATAATGACGTTACTATTTTTAGATTATGCGTACACATGTGTACACAAAAACGTCGTCGTTACTATGCGACGACGTCACATTTGCCCTGATGATCATAAGAGAAACCGGTTGGCAAATAATTAAATAAGTTAACTCATGGACTGTGTTTTTTTGTTTTATATATATATATATATATATATATATATATATATATATATATATATATATATATATATATATATATATATATATATATATATATATATATATATATATATATATATATATATATATATTATTATTGAAATAAAGTGACACTAAGGTTTTTCACCGTCCAACTGTGGTGAATTAGTTAAATTTCAATCAAGTAGAGTGACTATTTTTATGTTAATTGAACAATTATTTATAATTACAAATAATTAGGTTGAAATATAAAAGTTATCAACAGTATAAAGGTGCCAATTCATTTTAATGAATTGAAAATTACCGATAATTTGCAAAGAATATTCACCGTGTACAATGTATATCCAGTAACGCCGGAATGTGAAAATAACGCACGATTCGTGCAATAAGTAACGCAGAATTGTGCAATAAATGGCGGACAACTGACAGGATTCCAACGCGGTAAGAAAACTGGCCAATTATTATGAATATATTTTTTATTTAACCGAAATGAAAAAAATCAATAGCCTCATACGGCTGCGAAGACATAACTCTTTATCCCTCATCAAGATTATTTCCACGAAATTGTTTACTCTTCAAGATCATTCGTGAAAATGATGGCTTGACCACCGTTTTGAGCGATATTTTGGCTTTTTGTCGGCTCTTATAAGT